TTCAAACAAAAATAAGCTTCGTCGTTCATTATAATTTTGTTCCATAAATCTTCAATTTCGTTTTCCTTCAGGTAAGTTGTTTGAGTAAAAGAAACAACTGATGTATTTCAAAATTGTTTTTTGATCTCGATACATTTTGGCAAAATAGGATAACCCTTTTAGAAATTTCCTAATATACATTTTCTTTTATTATTCAGGATTTCTATGATAAAAGTTGGGGACTATTTATAATGAGAGCTAGGGCAGAACTCTGGTCATAATAAGTTCTAAATGAAGGGTTGCTGCAATGAATAACTAGGTTTAATGTTGACATGTACCGTAGAAAGCATTTATTTATTTTTTATTTATTTATTTTTTTTAACATGGGATGGTTGAGTTTCCCATTTTGGTACAATCACTATGCCTTCTGCTTGGTCTTTCTAATTTTAGTACTTATACAAGAAATGTATCAGCTATGTAACAATCGAGTTCTCGCCCACTTCAGATAAAAAACACTTTTTTTTTTATGATGAGTCATAGAGATTGTAAAGAATCAACCATTGTATTACAATGTTTGAGACATTCATCACTAGATTTAGATGTAATTAGGAAATCATTAAGGTTATTTCCAAAAGCCTTAGTTGATGCACTATCGGTTTTTAGGTGTTTGCAAAAACATATGAAGCAAATGGTCAAACCAAATGTAAGACACTTAAATTCGTAAGTTATTTTTTTTTCAAAATACTTTTCTTATTTTTTATGTCTTGAGATAAGAGGCATCCTTTTATTTAATTTTTGATAAAATTGTCCTGTAACAAAATATTCCGGGCAAATCTGAGATCTTTCAGTTTGAAATGTGAGAATCTATATATTTGTTAAAGATGAATCTAGATAAATCATTTCATTTGAGTCTTAAAAAATATGAGAACCAAACTAATTTTCTTTAGGAAGCAAACACCTGTTGTATTCTTTAGTACTTTTTTTTCTGTTACATGAAGTGTGAGGTTTGTTTTTTCTCTAAGAGAAAATATTCTTTGGTGAAATTTTTTTTGTGTTTTAAAGATTAATTTAAAACCTTTAGCATATCTTAGGACCTTCTTATAATTAGTTCAGTTAGCCCACATGTTTTTCAAATTTATTCCGTCTACCAGCAATCTCTCTTACCTTTATTTCCTTTCTTAATGACTCCTTCCCTCTCTGTTTTTCTGAATACTTGTTGATTGGGTTTTTTTTTATTTCTCCTGCTTTTTCTCTGGCCTGGTTTTCTTCAGTCACTATTTAAAAGTAGGCGTCTGAAGTTTAAAGACTCATTGAAATTATTGTTTGCTTTTAATTGGTGTCTTTAAATTAAATTAATGTATGCTAATTTTTTTAAATGCTTTGTCTGACTTCCATATCTCTACAAGATTCTTTCCAAAATAAAAAACCATCGATATCTCCTTTTTTTATCACATTTGTGTTTAAAGACGGAGATATAAGGTGCCTACGATGCATATATTCTATAGTAAATGTCTGATAATACTTCTGTTACATTTGCATTTGTTTTGATGCGTCTATTTCTGTTCCATCCAAGCCTACCTTACAGAGGTTCAGCTAAACTTCCCATCATCTTTCAAGTTAGTCTTGCAGCATATATAAATAGCTGTCGGTTTTATTTGATGACGTGACTAGTCACTAAACTTTTTGGTGCGGAGTTTAAGTGAAAGTATTCCAGATTTTGATTTCGCAAACAAACTTTGATATTTTGCCATTCTCCAAACCGTCTTGCAAATATTTTCCCAACTTTTTACCATTTCTTCGTTGACTGGTTTTCCGAGAGAAATGTTGCTATTAGGATCCGCTCCCAGAATATCCTGTTATTGAATTTGATCCTTACTATTCGAACGTCTGTTCTGGTGAAGATGACGGGTTAAATGTATATACCTCTTAGATTCTGATTCTGAATCAACTTAAATCTATATTTAATTAATGGCTAATTCATGTGCACATAAATGGGTATTTTTTTTAGGGTGCAGGATTTACCCATACAGTAATATAATCAATGAGCAGTGGCGGCTTGTGGTAATTGAAAATGGGTGTTCACTTTTTTCAATAATTTAATCATATGTAGGTTCGGATCAAAACTTTGAACAAGAATCAATATCGCTGTTTTTTATTATTATTTGAGTTTGTATTAAGTGTAGTTATTATTATCAACATCATACTGTTTTCAAGCACTACAACTATTAATAAATGAATAATAGTTAGTCTGATATTTGTTTTGTTTTCAATATGTTGAAAACCATCTATAAACATTATTAGTTTGTAAACTGACTTTTCTTCATAATTTGAGATTTTTAAATATATATCAGGTTATGTAGAAAGCTTGACATTGATTTTTGTGTAAAAAATTTTATATGAAAGTTTACCTACCATTTTTTAGGTTTTATTGTAAGTTTAATCATTTTCACAATTTGTCACAGATCATTAAAAATATATTTTTTAAATACCTACCTTTTATTGGCAAATAAAATAAGAACTAAAATGTTTATTTTATAAGATCAGTCCCATCACAATACATAATATTACACAGACACAAACTAGAATAAAGATATATAATGCCTGGCATTTTAAATGATACTCTTCGCAGTTTAACAGACCCCCTTAACCCCCATTTTTAAGGACATTGTTCTCACAATCAATAGGCCTCATCTCCTTATAGACCTTTATTTTTACTAAAAATTTCATGATTATATCAATTTTTATTTTTGATTTTTTTTTTAATTTCAGCCCCCCTTGATTCCCCCATATTTAATCAGATTTTTTTTTATAATGAAAGGGCTTCTTCTTTAAGATTGATGTTTGCTAAAAATTTTAAGTTTTTCAGTGAGGATTATTTTTATATTCTAAACCAGTGAGATACACATCGTAAAATGTTATCTTAATTCTCTATATGACTTTTTCTAAGTGTATTTCATAGCACATTCCAAAGTATTCTTGATCTAACTCCGTCCTATACCCTTATGGCAGGCTTTTGCATGTCCATGTTCACTAAAAAATAGTGTGTTTTAATAAATAACAGAATAATAGTATTTTGTCTAAATAGGTAAATCGGCTTCATCTGTATTTTCAAATTATTGTTTAATTGTAGATAGTATATTAATATTTTGATATGTACTTATAGGATTCATTAGCCAGATCATGTAGATATGTGGGATGTGACTTATTAAGTGCCATTTTGAAGTAATCTTTGTTTGCTCTTAGACACTTGTTATGGTTCCCATTTTATCGTTGCAATATTTATATAAAATTTAAATAATTTAATAATAAGCTTACCTGTCGATAAAAGAAAACACAAGATTGTTCAAATTATGTATATTAATTTTCTATAACCTGTACCTGAATGTCAACAGTTTGACAAATTGTCGACCTTGACCTTCCTTCTTCTCTTTTACGAATCTAATTGCAATTGTACAAATTCCAAATTACTTCTTTGCTAAAATCTGCATTCACTTTCATTTATTCAAATTAAAGTTCAAGACAAAGGTCATTTAGTCCTAAAATATGGTAATTTGTTGGCAACCCTACATTGTCTTTCTGGCTGAAGAACTTCCTTTCTCTTCTGTTCTTTTTCAATTAGCTTTCTTTGGTCCATGTGGTACCTGAAAATTCACGAATTTTATTCGGATTATTTGGCTAATAATATAAAAAGAAAGTTTACCTTTAAAGTATATTTGTCATGATTGACAGCACCTTGTTGTGAAAAAAATACTTTTCTTCCAAAGGCCACCTAACATATATGGCCTTCTTGTTTGTATCCATTCTGTAGAGCTTCTTGTGCCACTCCTGTAGTATTTAGTAGCTATTATTTAATTTGGACACATTATCGTCAATGCTTGGCTTAGCAGTTCCAGTAAAGTAACCCGTACTATAGTTCACCACTTCCTGCTTAGCTTGTTGGCCCAGCCCTTAGTAACCGATCGATAACTCTGTCGAGAACAACCCCTGGATGGTAGATCATCAGGAAATAATTGTCTACTTCATTGCCTGAGCTCTATTTTAGCAACGTTTAGCTTCCTTGTATATATATTATTGCTAAAAACATTAACGTGCATCACCTTTCTATACATATATTTAATAACATCATTGTCATAGTATCATCTTGTATATAAATCATAGCCTTTAGTATTATTACCTTATTACATTAAAAGCTGTTTCGCATTCTAACTATCGAATAGTTTTAGTTTAGAAAATCTAAGTGGGTATTGCATTTTATCTACCCTTACTTTTGTTAGCTGTTTTAGCATAGCTTATTTAGTTTCTCATAGAGCCTAAAATAAAATATATATTAGATAAATAACATAAGTTTATTGTATATAGGTAGTATAATAAGATTTAGGTATATTTTCGTACTTACCATGTGATCGATTGGTACCCGACTCTTTC